ACTATGTCCAGGATGTGTCTGTTTGATCCCTGTGGGTGTCTTGAATCTCTGGATGGTTTCTTAGGCATCTCTGGATCCACACAAGCTAGGGCCTGACCCATTGAAGATGTTCAGTGATGTTGAAACAAGCAGAGCAAGTAGAGACAGGTGGACCACGGTCTCGGGGTATCCCTGTGCTCTCATTCCAAATTGGAGGCCGTAGAACAGAAGGGGGGGGTCCACATTGGACACGGGAGGACTCAGTGTGCCTATTCTCAACAGCTCCACATCTTGGGTACACCAAACTGACCCTTTCCGTAGTGCCCCACATTTGCATTGGGGTTACCAGGGTGGGAGAACACCCCAGGAATCTTTGTCTTCTTTGATGGTCATCATGACCATCCCAGGCATTGAAGTGCAACCAAAAGATGTTTAAATCACGGGGCTCAGGAGACTTGGGTGGTCATACTAATAACGCATTTGCATTTTGCTTTATAACTTATAAAACAGGTTCTTATGCACTGCCTCACAACCGCCCGCCAAGTAGATATTTTGATTGGCCCGGTTATATAGACGAAGAAACTGAGGCTCAGAGAGGTCTTGTGTCTTTTCCTGAAATGCCGAGCATGGCCAGGACTTGAACCCACTTCTTTCATCTCCACTTGCTGCATGTCTACTGGGTTCTGCTGTCTCTGAACCAACCTGAGCAACCTTGGCTCCCTCTCTGGGTCTCAGTTTTCCTGGCTGTGTAATGGGAGTTACCCATTCAGTGGTTTAGAGTCTCAGTTTTGGTGGATGGAACAAATGGGGAGCATGTTGAAAGGATGCGGGGTAGCCCCCCTCCCTTTTTCCCTCCAGCCCCCAGCTGCCACCTCTCAGTAACCCTATCACCTCCTCCCAGTTCCCAACATGTGTAGACTTTTCGCTTCCACTTTATTATCACCTCATTTGTAGGATTTTAAGGTTTGTTACCCGGAAGGAAGTGAGGACCTCACACCTCCAGTTCCGCTTTTCAAATATACTTTCATTGCTTGTGAAAATAACCTTATTAACAGCATCTAACCTGCTACAGCTTATGGGGGCACTCAGATAAATAAATGCAGAAGGAACCAGGGCAGGGGATATAGCAGAGCTAGCTGGGGTAGGACAGCCTCTGGGTCCCTGGGATTTTCTCCTGACCCATGGGGTCCTGTCCGGGTCAAGAGAACGCAGGTGAGACCCCAGTAGCCTGGAGCAATCGGCTGCCTTCTCTGGGACTTTGCCTCCTGCCTCCTCCTCTGGCGCTCAGAGATCCTCTGGGGAAACAGCTCCCATGCCTCTGCAGCTCCCCTGTCTCCTGGATGCTTGTCCGGGATTGATTCTCCGGGCAGCTTCCCCTCCAAGCAGTAAATGGAATATCGGTTACCAGGAGTGAGACGGGAGGCAATTAACCCCCAGACCTCACCGTGGCAGATGTGTTTGTAGCAAGCTGAAGCGGCGAGCTGAGCGCACCTGCCTGGCCGTCCTGCAAAGTCATCCAATTAAGACAGTCCCCAGCGGTGGGCTCCTGCTGTCCCCTCTGGTGCCCATGACCCCAGAAAGCGGGGCAGCCCTAGCTCCTAGAGCTAGCAGCTGCCTGGGCACAGGATGGCCTACCGTTCCTTGTGTGGGTGAGCTCCAGGACCACCTCCATCCTAAGAGCCCCCTGGCAGGGACGTTATTCGTTAATTAATCACACATCTTTCTAAAGGGGAGGCAGTCTGGGGAGCTTTCGTCCTTCCTTCCTCCAGAGTGGGACCGCCATTCTGCCCGGCCAGCCTCCTTTCTACCACCCAGCCGGCCCTACCCCCTTGGAATGTTCTTGTGCCAGAAAGCCCTTGACTGAGGAGGAGGAGAGACACATGCCCTGCTTTCAGGGAGCCCCCAGTCTGAGGGGAGACACAGCTCTTGCTCTCAGAGATCCCCCAGTTGGATGAAGAGCCAGAGTCTGTCCTTCAGGGTAACCCCAGTCCCAGGGGCTGGTCTTAGAATGCCCCAGTTTAATAGAAAAAGCAGTATCTAACCTTCAATCTACCCTCCTGAGAGGAGAGCCGCAATCTCTGCATCTAGGAACCCCCCAATCCTGGTCTCAGTGGAGATACGTACCATAACCTCAGCTTACTCAAAACACTGTCTTTGAGGACCCCCAGTCTGACGGAGGACACAAAGATCTTGCCTTCAGGAAGCTTCCCATTCTGATGGTGGAGACACAGTCCTTGCCCTCAGGTATCCCCTGTCTGATGGGGGAGACACTTTCCCAACAGTTTTCCCTGCTGCCTGAGTGACTGCAGGATACCCTGGGTGCCCTGCAAAGGGGGGAAAAAAAAAGTCCTTGGCTTCAGTCCAGTCCTAGTTATGCCACACACTTGCTGCATGACCATGGGCAAGTCACGAATTTTCATCAGACTATGATTTGCTCATCTGCAAAATGGAAATATTAAGCCCATCTCTCAAAACGACATGAGGATTGTCTGGTCACCAGAAGTAAAAGCAAACAAGCCAGCCAGGCACTCCCTACAGAAACGATTAACATGCTTTTTATTGTAGCCGAGGTCCCAGACCAGTCCCTGTGTTCTCTGGGGAGGGGTGGGGAGCCCCCCAGGTATGTGGCTGGGTGATTCCAGGCCAATGTGGCCATTAAAGAATCACAGAGGGCTGTGGGGGGCACTGGGGGCAGGGGAAAGCGCCTTCTAATCTAATCGCTTTTCCCGAGGAAACTCTCATTCCAGCCAGACCTGCCAGGGGCTTTATTGGGTTTGTGGGGACCCGTGGATTTCAATCTCCAGACCCCACAGGGAAGGAACAGGCATTAAGCTAATTTTATTAAATGGCCACAGCTGGCAGTTGGGGGAAGTAGGGGAGAGAAGGGAGAATAAAGAAAGCCATTCAAGGCTGCCAGCCCTGACAAGGGTCCATACATGGGGCCTGACTGGGAAGGAGGCCACCCCTCCTTCCTGTCTCTCCAGCTGAGCTGGCTGGGGGAGGGGAGGCCAGATGGGACTCTTCCTCAATATAGAGCCTTGGGACTCTCCAAGAGGCTCACCCCAGGGTTGCTGCCCAGGGCAGATGCTTGTAAGTATATCAACCCTCTGCAGGGCAGGGGTGGGAGTGGGAGGGCTGGGCACAGCAGGGACGGAGCTGCCTCAGAGCCTTCCCCAGCTCTGCTTTAGAGATCCCAAATCTTTATGAAATAGGGCATATGGGCTAAGAGCAAGGTCTTTGGTTCAAATACTGACATTTGCCTTTTCCTAGCTCTGTGACCCTGGCAAGTTATTAACCTCTCTAAATCTCAGTTTCCCCACCTGAAATGGATAAAATAACAGTGCCCATGTTATAGGGCACGTGAGCATTTCCTGCCAGTCCACCCTGCCCCACCCTACCCACATATCGGTGAGATAGTATTTATAAAGTTCTCATGTGGTGCCTGACACAGAGTGGTGCTCTCTAAATCTTAACTCTTATTTTTTTAAAGATTTATTTATTTTATTTATTTGAGAGAGAGCGCACATGAGCAAGAGTGGGGGGAAGGGAGGGGCAGGGGAGAGGGAGAGAGAGAATCCCTAGCAGCCTCCACACCCAGGACCCGATGTGGGGCTCGATCTCAGGATCCCGAGATCATGACCTGAGCTGAAACCAAGAGTCGGATGCTTAACTGACTGTGCCCCTGAATCTTAGCTATTATTATTTAGGCATGCCATAACTGCAACTGTCAAGGGTCCCAGTTATAGAAGGTAAGGGAGGCAGAGGCAGGGCAAGGAGACTCAGCGTGTTGTCTTCAAGGAGCCGGTCTTCTTGGATTCAAGTGCAATCACAGAACTTAGTGACTAGGTCACATGAAGCAAGATATTTCACCTCCCTGGAAGAACAAAATCTACTCACCCAGCCTCTCAGGCTCTCGGGAGGCTTGAGCCAGATGTCATACCATTGTGCAAACTTTCAGTGATGTATACATAATAAAAGCTGTGTTTATTGGACACTTACATGATACCTCTTGAATCCTCATTCAAGCCAGGTAGGTCTTGTCACATTTTATAGCATGAGAAAACTGAGGCCCAGAGGTGAAGCACTTGGGCCAAAGTCAACCAGTTTTTAGTGCAAAGTGTGTTCCTGTCATTGCTGTCACTAACCCAGAACTGAAGGAGGAGTGACTTGCCCAAGATCATACACAGTGGTACCGGATTGAGAACCTGGGTGTCCCAGTTTAAACCTTGCTCATGCCGCTTTCAAGGACAAATAAATGGAACTTTTCCACGATGGAAGGTGATGATGGCACTGGGCTCCCATTTCTGCTGCCCAGGCCCGCTTGGGCTGTGGTGAGCATCGGGCCCCTTGGCCCACCTCCTTCTGGAGCAGCTCTGATTCTGGCACCTGGCTGCCTGCCCCCAGATTCACGGGAAACTTCCAGCAGACCCCTTTCCTTTCTGGAAGAGGGCAGGGTTCATGGTTCCCTTCTGCAACTCCTCTCCAGGGCACAGACCCAAAGCCAGCGGGGTGGAAGTGTTTTTATTAGAGCTTTGGTCAGACGCGGGGGGGGGGCGCAGCCGGGCTGGGGCTTTAGCAGGTGCTGGGACGCTATCCAGCTCCGATCCACCCCTCTCCCAGGAGGCGCCACCCCGGAGCGGGAGGGCAGCGCATCCGAGCACGGGAAGGGTCGCCGCCGAGACCTGTCCCCAGTCTGGGGCCGGCTGGCGAGCAGGGTGGGCAGTAAACAGTCCTATAGTACAAATATACAGCGCGGGCCGGGGGGCGGGGGCGGTCGACACCGCCTCCCGGGGACCGGGACGGACGCGCTCTGGACCTGGCTCTGCGGCGAGCGGGCAGGAGAGCGTAGCTTGCGGCCCGGGTGGTGGTGAGGGCGGGCCGGGGGCGTCATAGCCGGGGAGGGCCGGCGGCCGGGGCTGGGCAGCGAGGGGTTGGGTGGTCCTCAGCCCGTCCGGAGGGGAGCCCCCCGGGGGGTGGTGGTGTGGGCGGGTGGATAGGGGATGGAGAGGGACGCGGGGAGCTCAATCGGAGTAGATGATGAAGCCGGAGAATGTGCTGTATTTGTTGCTGTTTCCGCCGTGAGCTTTGCCCCCGTCGAGCTTGATGAAGACCTCATCGCCCGCGTCCAGGTGCAGGATCACGCTGTTGCTGGCGTAGTCGTAGTTCTGGTCTGCGTCCTGGGCTATGGCGCTGGCCCGCACCTGCGGGGGGGTCAGGGAGTGGTGTGTGGGAGAGGGGAGGGGGGAGGAGGGAGAGAAGTAGGGTCGGGGAGGGAGGGGGACTGTCAGAGGTAAGGCAGTCACCTGGGGAGGATCTTGGGGGCCCTAAAAGCCCCGCCTTCAGCTCTCAGCCGGCTTCTCTCCCGTCATCCCCCCACACTTTCCAATCCTAACTGTGTGTTTTGGGACCGGGTTATAGAGGAGCCCTGGATTTCTAGGGCAGGTGTAATCTGGGTCGGAATTAGGAATCAAGGTGGAGTTGGCCTCCTTCACGCTTCTAGGTCTAACCGTCTGGCCTGCCGAGGACCTCAACAATGCCTCCAGGATGTCCCAGCCTGGAACTCCCTCCTTGCAAAGAGGAATTCTCTGGAATACCAGGGGATGGAGGGCCATCCCTTCCCTCCTTATCATTCCGTCCTCTCTGCTTTAATTGTAACAGTGCCTTACATTTCAGCCATAACCCACCTCTTCTTACGTCAGTGGATGGACACAAGGGTGCACCTTGGCCCCAAAGGTCAGGTGGCTAGACTAGCACCAGGCTGCTACTAAGCAACCACCTAGTACCAGAAACCAATATTTAAACTCCTTGTCTGTAGTTCATTCTGGAGTCTTTCACAGTGGAGCAGTGGAGATGGAAGTTCTGGTAATTATTTCCCCTCCCAAGGCTCGGACTGAGCCTGCATATTGGCCTCCAAAGAGCTGTAGCTCTACCTGTGACTGTTACCCTACCCAAAGAGGACTTCTGGCTCCGCCTATCTCGCCCCACGGTGATAGAAAGGAAGTAGGTGGGAAGAAGAGAATCCAGGCTTTACATCTTTCTGTGAGCCTCAGTCTTATCTGATATCCTTGCTGGTCCTTGTTTTGTTGGGGGAGGGGAGGGACTGGCAGGACTATGAAGCAAGAGAGCAACAGCATTTGGATGTGAAGCCTGCTGTCACTTTTGGGGGCTCTGTTTATAATCATAAGATATTGAGAGTGGGTGGTGGCGGGCAAATTCCCTCCAGGCATGCCTCGCCAACAACTGAGGCAACACAAGGCCTGAGCCATAGGATCTGGGGCCTCTCCTGGATAGCCTGGGTGGAGAACGGGAAGACAGGGGCCATCTCCAAGGTGCAGGCTTGTGTTGCGGGGGGTAGGCTGCATTGAGTGGGGTTCTCTCAGCTGGGCTCCTCAACAGCCCCTCTCCATCCTGGCCCTTCCCTGAAGGCAGCTCTCCCAAGGGCTGAAGGTCTGGGCTGGCCCAAGCCAAATTAGGGGAAGGGCCCCTTCTCCTTCCTGGGCGGGAGGCAGAATTGCAGCTCAGCTGTCCCACGGCCGCTGACTCAGCAGCAACGCTGCAACAGGAGGGCCCGACGCATTTGCATGCTGTCTGCCATTCAAAGTCCAGATCCTTCTAACCCCTTCCCTCCCCCCAGGGAAGGCACTGTTTGGGGGACACTTAGTTGGGAAAACTCGTAGTTCAGCTAAAGGTAGAGAAAATCAAATGAGGGGAAGACGCTGTCTGTCAAGAAGCTCAGTTTCTCTGTTCAGAAGATGGATAAGAAGATCCTGCCTCACCACTGCAACCTTTGTAAAAAGCCTTTTGATGGTGAAGAAAAAGAATTTTAATCTTGATGGGGCTTTGTGCTACTAGGCAAGTGTTCAAAGCAAGCAGCCAACTTCTGTATTGTTCCCTGAGCCCTAATCCTCGTAGTATTTATTAATACGCATGCATTTCATTATCTTTGCTAATAAATTACTACTAATAACAATTATTTTTATTACCCAGATTAATTTAGCCTTGAGTCATTAAAACAGTGTGCTTCTTAATAGCCAAATCCATTAGAATACAGTCATCTGTCATCAGGAATCTCCTGGTGATGTGACAGGCATCAGAACTGTTATGCTTATGTTTATTATTTATTCATCACCATGATTGTTGCTGTGATTATCCTAATTATCCATGGAGGCAGGGAGAATTTACGCCCTTCCATGCTTAGACGGTGGGGGATCCAGGAACGGAACGCAGGGGTCCTGATTCTCTGCCTGGGACTGGAAATAGTTGAGGCATCCAACTCCTCCTGGGGGCCAAGGGAAAATTTGGGGAATTGAGGTTGCCATGCAAGCAGGAAAGCAAGTCTGGGACTTGTCACGAGGGGGCGCTGTAGAGTCACCTCTATGAGTGCTGCCAGAAGGGAAACTGAGGCAGTGGTCTGACCCTGGAAGGATCAGGGCCCTGGAAAGAGGAGGGGGGAGAACCCAGGAAGCATGCCCCTGCCCCCAGGTCAATGTGGGGTGGCAGATGTGCAGGAGTGCCTCCCACAGGCAGCCAGCTGGGCCCACTGGGGACACTTGTGCTGTCACACATTGACTGGGTCCCTACTGTGCTAGCCACTAGGCTCTGTGCCGTGAAAGGTATTCAAGGCAAGAAAAGGACAGCAGGAGCCCCTCTCCGGCTGTCAGGCGCCAGGCTGAGCTCCAGTGAGGCCTTTCCACAGGAGTCTCAGTTTATACACTATCCCACCTCTCACCGCACTCAGGCTCTGTTGTCTGAGCCCTTCCCCGTTTGTAATACACTCACCTTCCCAAAGCCCCTGCCCTGGACAGTTGGCACTCTGCCCATGGGCCCTGGCCCATTCCCACACCGCTCCCTCTCTCCCGGCCCAGTTTCTTAATTTCTTGTCTTCCTTCACCCATCTGAACTGGGGACCTTCGAGGCAGCCTCAGGGAGTGTACCTCACTCAGGGCACCACCCCCAATCTAGAGCCCCTTCCTCAGGCTCCTCAGATCCCCATGTCCCAATGACCAGGGCTTGGGGCCATCAGGCTGGGCAGTGGTGACTCCAGGCTCCCTTAGGGAGAGGGACTGGTGGTGGGCCTCAGGCAAGGACAGACAGGGGGGCCTCCATATCAGGCAGGAAGGTAGTGCAACCTCCCCCCGTCTTGCCCAGGGAAAGGCCAGGGAGCAATTTCAGCTCATCCTTCCTGAGAAAATTCTGGAAGCCTTTCTGCAGGCAGGAAGCCAGAGAGGAAAAGCACAGAGCCCAGCATTGCCCCTGGTCTTGAAGTCGGGGGAGGCAGCAGCCCCTCTGTTCTGTTCCCGTCCATGGCCCAGGGCCATCATTCTTTCTCTGCTGGCTTGAATGTCCTCTTCTACCTCTAGGGCAGCCTTTTCCTACACTTGATCTTTTTATTTTCTCCCTACCCATGTCTTCTCACCTTGGGGACCGACCTGGGTTTGCCTCTCCCCTGACCGGGTTGGTCGGAGTTGGGGCAGGCCCCCCTGAATCATTCCCTCCAGCTAACACATCTGGGGACGGGAGTAGCCCCTGGGCTCCCGGTCCTCCTCTAACACACTAATCGCTGGGGTGTGTTGTCCTGTGGTTACTACGGTCTCCCCTGCATAGACCGTGAGGTCCTGGAGGGCAGGTGGATCAAACCTCTGCTACCTAGCTCCAAACCTGGCTCCTAGTAGGGGTTCAAAATGAATACGTGGAATGACTCGTGAGATTTAATGAGTCTCTTGAGCAATCTGGAAGGAGAAGTCACAAAGGATGTAGGGGAGAGGGGTACAGGCCCCACTTTTTTGTGGGGGAGAATGGTCTGAGTAACTGTTAAAATGCTGGGTCTGTTGGGGCACCTGGGTGGCTCAGTTGGTTAAGCGACTGCCTTCGGCTCAGGTCATGATCCTGGAGTCCCGGGATCGAGTCCCACATTGGGCTCCCTGCTCAGCGGGGGGTCTGCTTCTCCCTCTGGCCCTCTTCCCTCTCATGCTCTCTGTCTCTCATTCTGTCTCTCGCAAATAAAATAAGTAAAGTCTTAAAAAAAATGAAAAAAGAAATACTGGGTCTGTGAAACCCTTAGTTAAAGCCGTCTCCTTTTTTCTACTAGCCTGTGGTCCCACCTCTAGGGAGTCCCTCCTCGTCTGCCAATGCTCTGCCAATGCCCTGCCCCTGCTGAAGGGGAAAGGAGAAGCTCTGAGGCTCTGAGACAGTTTCACCTCCCAGTGACTAAAGCTAGTGCCCCTGCCTGAGTACACAGCACCTTCGGGGCCACCTCGGGCCTCATATCTGGGGCCCTGCTGCAACCTCCTGAGCTGGTGCAAGGTCTAGGGCCCACTGGGCATCTGGTGACTGGCTCCCTATCCGGCAAAATGGGCCCCCAGCCCCCTGAAACCTCAGCTCAGGACCAGCCCAAACTTTCCTTGGGAAAGGAAGATATTCCTTCAATGAAGGTGACATTGCTTCATCCCTTATTGGTGATTAATAAGGGGAATCGTGGGGCTGTCTGCAGAATGAGCCCTCACTGGATACTGAGGCCTCCCATTTGGTGAGGAACCAAGGACAAAGATGAGAGACGCAGGAAGCCTGACAGAGAAAAGTGGGAGAGAGACCCTCAGGGAATAAAGAGGGGTGTGCAGCCCAGGGGAGAGAGGCCAGAAACTCCGGAGAGGCAGGTAGGACCGGTGGACACCGGAGAGAGACGGACAAGAGACAGAGTAGAAAAAAGAGGCAGGCAGGAGAGAAAGAGGGGGTAGACTTACAAGTGCCTGGTAGTCTTTGTGCTGACTCCCAGGCCTGTCCTTTCCCCCACCTCCAAGCCAGGTTCTACCTCAGGGTAATACTGCAGTGGGAAGGGTTCCAACAGGGTCTTGGGTCCCAGGTGTCGAGATTCCTTGCCAACTCCCACCATCCCAGCTTTTACTTTACCCCTGCTGGTCTCCTTTTTCCACAGGAATGCTCAGCCTCACCAACCCCCACCCCCACTGGGCCACCGTGGTCTGGGAGCACTGGAAAGGGAGGGTGTTATCAAAAGGGAAGGGAGCTGGGCAAAACTGTCACCCTGGGGCAGAGTTAGGTCGAGGTTGCTCTGGGGGCAGCGGTTCCAGAAAGAGCACAATGCACTACCCTCCCAGTACCACCAGCTTGGCGCCAGCCTGGATCTCTGAGATGGAGATAGGGAACGAAGAAGATCCCCTGACACTCCAGGAGTCAAGAGCGGCAGCTGCAAGATCCAGGGAGGGGGAGTTTCCACCTCTTTGCCCCGCTCAGGAGGAAAAACTTTTCCCCCTCCCCGAGGCCGCTTTCTTGCGCCTGTAGCTCTGACACAGCGGGAAGCGACTGGGATGTCCCGGGTTTTGCAAGGGTGTCAGATCGGCCCAGTGGACCCTTCTCAGGGACAGAGTATGTACTGCAGCTAAGGCTTTGCGCCCCTGGCTCCCTTTGCCTCTGTGCCCCAAACGTCTCCTACAGCTCGCATTCTCGGCTTGCGGGCGGAGCGGTGCGCCTGGACGCCCGCGGGCGCCAGAGGCTGCCTTTCCCCAGAGCCTATCTTTGCCCTCCCCTTAATCGCCCGCTGGTATCAACCACAATCCCAGCTCTCAGCGCTTCCCAAGGGCCAAGCCCCCAAGGCCCAGTCCGCGCGCCTGGGAGCCCTGCGCTCTGGTTATTTGGTTTTATCTCCCGCATTTCCATGCCGCGCGCGGGTGCCCAGCAGCGTCTGCCTTGCAGCCAGTGCCCAGGAACCGAGGAGTTAGTGCCAACCGGTCCACCTTCCCCGCATGTGATGCCTAAGCGGGGCCGCTGTAGGGTCTCCACCTGTGCCCGCCGGTATCCTTACGTCCCGGGCTCCCTGGGTGCCCTGCCCCCAGGCCAGCCCCATGCCCCCGCCGGGCCCACCTGGCCGTTCTTGCAGAGGTCCGCCCACATACTGGTGCCGTCGCCGCCGCGCATGAGGACGTGGTAGGTGAAAAAGTAGGTGCCGGGAATGTTGCACGTAAACTTGCCGCTGGTCGCGTCGTAGTTGTTGCCTAGGTTGGTGACCACGTCGTCGAACTTGAGCACCTCGTAACCCTCGTGAGGGTTCTTGAGGCCGGCGTAGAAGGCCACGCGTGGCACCGTGGTGTAGGTGGCCGTGCTGATGGCGCCGCTGCCCCCAGCACCCGGCAGCCCCGGAGGGCCGGTCTTGCCCGGCTCACCCTTCTCCCCGGGTGGCCCCACAGGACCCGGAGGACCTGGGTCTCCGGGGGGCCCGGGGGGGCCCGGCTTGCCTGTGCGGCCCGGCTTCCCCTGGGGGCCCTGCACCAGCGTGGAAGGCGGGGGCGCGCCGCTCTGCTCGCTCAGGGCGTCGCCGCCGTCGGGCCGCGCGCCGGCGCCGGGGCCCCGCGCGGGGTAGGGGTCGCATACCATGCGGCAGGTGCCCAGCATCTCATAGTGGCCGTCCGGGCCGCCCGAGCTCACCAGCACGGGGATGAGCACCACCAGCACCAGCAGCATCACCACGCCCGCAGCGGCCGCCAGCAGCGTTTTCCGGCCGGCGCGGAGCCTGGGGAGCGCCGGGCCGCCCGGCCGCGCCGTCGGGGCAATGGTGCCGGCGGGCGGGGGGCGCGGGCAGGGCGCCCGCGCTCAAGGGCGGTCCGGCGGGGCTGCGGGCATGGGGCCGGGCCCGGAGCGCCGCGCTGCGCTGGATGCGCTGCGGAGCCCAGCCGCCGGCTCCTGCCTCGCGCCTCCCTCCCGCTGCGCGGCCGGACTGAGAGCGGCGGCAGCCGCGTCCTGCCCCGCTCCTCCCGCCTCCTAGCTCTCCGGCCACCGCCCCCTCCGCCCCGCCCCGCCCCACCAGCTCCGCGCCGCTCGGCGCCCGCGAGGGGTGGGGCTGCGGACGGGGCCGGCATCTAATTGGGCCGCTGGCTGTAGAGCTCTGCCTACCTAGGGGGGCGGGGCCGCGGGGATGAAGGCCAGACTCAGGGAGCTCTATAGAGACTGAGATTCGGAAATCGGGAGGATGCTAGAGTCTGAGAAACAGTAGAGTCTCCAATAGGGAAGGGGAGAGTAGGGACCAAAGACCGAATGGAAGAGGGCCACAGGGAGAGCTAGAGAGCGCCGAGGGAGACTGAGAGAGGAGAGGCCTCGAGGGTCGGTTGCAAAGAAAACTGAGAGGGAGGCTCTAGGGGCCACCGCACGCAGGCGGCGGAGGCCGGGGTGGACGGTTCCCCAGTCTGCTGGGGACAAAGAGCAATTGAGGGGAATATGGAGTGGGGAGCAAAAATGGGACAAGGAAGACGGTGAAAGGGAAGAAGAGAGGAAAGGAAAAGGAAGATGGGGAGGGGGCCATTCTGCACTCAATCCCCGCAGACCACCCGTCCAGGAGATCTGGGGATCGCGTGCCTATCCGGGTGCCCGGCGAGTTCCCGAGTAACTGACAGCAGCTGCTCCTGCTCTTTTCTGGCTCCTGGCTGTTCCCTGGCCCCGTCTTCCTCCGGGACGGGAGGGATCTTCTACCCATACCTCTTGCCTCTGCTCCTTCCTCCCCGAGCTCCAGGCCAGACAAGGCTGCTTTTTCCTGGGGGTGGGGCCGTCCTCCATTTTGCTCTAATCACTCCCCTTATCCCTGCTTTTAGACCAGGGAGAAATGACGGCCCTAAGAAAGTGGGCATCCCATCTCATTTCTTCATTCCGGCCAATACAAACATTCCTTGGGTGGTAGCTCCCTTTTCCAGCCTCCAAGAGAGGAGATTGGTCTCACCCAGCCCCTCAGCTCCTCCTCCACCCTAGCCTCCTCAGCAGCCCCCTAACTCTTCTCCCCATCAGGTTGCATGAGGCAATCCTCTTCCTCAAGTGCAGTAAAGTGTTTAGGTTGCATAAACGGAAATGTGTCTGCTTCCATCAAAATATTTGTCACATTATTTGAGGCCCCACTGGTGCTGCCCCACTGCTCCTCCTTCACCCTGCTTTATCCAGCCCACCGGGGAGGGCTCTGCCTTGGGGGGCCTCTGGCCGCTGCTAAAGGATGACCCTTCAGCCTCTTTCTTTTCTCCTGAGAGGGCCCTCCCACCTCCCACTACCCACCCCCAACACCCACCCACCCCCTGCCCCGAGCTGACTGGTCACAACTGTCCTTATGATTCTCTTGCTATCTCTACCTTAGGATGAGACTGCTTACCCCCACCCAGAGCTGGGAGGAGGAAAGGGACGTGAGAATATCAAATGAGGGGCTACGAGAGAGGACCTTCCAAGCACTGATGGCAGAACCCAGCTGGAGGGACCCCCAACCACCAAGGAGGGGGCTAAACCAATTCAATAAATAGCATTTCTTCTGGGCTTACTGTGTGCCAGGCCCTGTATTGAATGCTTTACGTACATGATCACTCGGATCTTCACATCAAGCCCTAGAGGTAAAGCCCATCATTTTTCTCATTTTACAGAGGGAAAACCGGGGCTTTGGCAAGTTAAGAGGTTTGCCCAAAGTCACACAACTAATAAGTGGTAGAGTCGGGATTCACACCGGCAGCCCGACTCCAGGCTCTTCCAACGCCGGGCGTGATTGGGTCTCTCGGTACTGTTCAATGTCCAAAGGGAGGAAAGTGTTAAGTCCGGGAGGAGGGGGGCGCTAGGCTGAGCAGTTAGACCTCCCAGGCTCAGAAAGAGTCGTCTTCAGCTGTCAGTCAGCCTCCTGTCTCCCACCTTGGTCTCCCTCAATATGTCTCTTCGAAGAGCGGCAGGGCTGGTGACCCGAGGGACAAATGCGCGGTCTTTAGCGTGTGATTTGCACGTCCCCCTCCCCCAGGTTCTCACGCACATGGGTCTCTCCCCTGCTGTGCAGCTGGGTCTCGGCTGTCACCCGCCCCCCTCCCAGGACCCGCCAGGAAAGTGCGGCGGACGCCCCAGGCCGAGGACAAGGCGGGAGCTCCCGCCCCCCGCCCCCGAGCTCTCGCCGCGTCCGTGGGGCGCGCTCCGCGCCGCGAGGCTGCCTGTCCCCCGCCCCCCGAAAGAGCGCCCGCTCCCTGGCTCGGTGTGGCGTCTCTGTCAGCCCAGCCGGATTCTCCCCGCTTCGCTGGAGTGGAAAATAACGGCTTCAAACTTTGCAGAAAGGAGCTGGTGCCAGCACTTTAATTAACAGCCATCTTGGCCTGTGAGCCTGGGCCACTGGCTCCCGCCACTCCCCCCACCCCGGGCCCCCCAGGCTCCGCCTCGGCCCCGCCCAGGACCCCGCCGAGAGAGACGAACCCCCACCACGGCGCCCCTTTTCCGTGGGGAAGTGAGGACCTGGCCGATTGGGGGGTGGGCGCTGCCTTGGGGGAAGTCCCCCAGTTTACTGACTGAGGACCCCCTCCAGCCCTCCCACTCCACCCACCCCAAATTCTCTAGAACTTGGTGGTTGAGGATTCTGGAATTAAATACCTGCATGCCAGTCCCAGCTGGTGATTTGAGGATGGTCTAACCTGCAGCGCCTCAAGTGTCCTCCTCTGGAGAAAGGGTTGTGAGAATTCAATGAGACATAATGTTTGTAAAGCACTGGGCTCAGTATCTGGTTCTGCACCCAGTAAATGGTGGCTAATATAATTATTTCACCCCCAGGCTAAGAAGTCCCTTCCACCACCCTAGGCCTTGGGTCTCCTCCTGACTTCTTTCTACAGGTTGCTGTGCTTGGAGCTAGGATAGGAGTACAATGGCCTATGCATCCAGGTTCAGAGATAAGACTAGATGAGCAAAGAAGGACCCCTTGTGTTCTGGCTTTTTGGCCTCTTCCTCAGCCACCTGCCAAGGCCAGGCACCCAGGTTTACAGAATGGGGAAGAGGTGAGCCCTGATGGAAGAGGGGGAGAGCAGCACTCTCCCTGGCTGGGATGTTGCCATGCTGGGGGCTGAGGACCCAGCTTTGCTTTCCCTCCTGTGAGGGCAAGCCCCCTCACTCCTACGGTCCCTATGATTTTGGGGGAGGGGGCTGCTGGGCATTGTGGTGGTGTGTGGAGGGTGCAGTATAATGAGTAAGACTCTTCATTTACACATGGTGGATTTTAGGAAACCAGGTGGCTGCTCCGTGGTATTTTGGGGTTCTTTGAATGAATGTGAGTGGATGTGAATGTGTAAGAGATGGTCTGTGTTAGCGTATGTCTGGGTTTCTGAGTGATGACGAGGGTGCTGTACCCTGAATCATCGGCTGGCAAATCTGCATTCATTTGTCCCCTTATTGCAAACATCGAGCTAGGCACTGTGATGTGGTCGTGCTGGTGTGCCCCCAAATGAGGAAGACCTAAACCATACCCTTAAGGAGCTCACTCTTTGACAGGTGACTTAGGCGGCAAGCAATGGTAAATGTTATGATAGTTATTAATGTTCTTTGAGCACTTACTAAGGGCGAGATCTTGTTCTAAGCACTTTAAGTGGATTATCTTATTTAAATTTAACAACCTATTATCCTGGACTTAAAACTATTACATGGCTTATATCATTTAATATCAGTAACCCCATGAGGTAGGCAGTGTTATTTTCCCCATTTTATAGTTGAGGAAAAAGTAAGGTTTGGGAGGAGGTTTGCACTGTTATGAAGCACAGATGAAAAACGCCCTGCCCAGAGGAGGACTCCAGGAAGGCCTCACAGGGGAGGTGTCACTTTTTTTCCATCTGTCTATCCACCCATGCATCCATCCTCCATCCATTCTATAAGCTCATATTAACTGACTGTCCATCACATCTCTTGTTATCACAGGACACAGTGATGAGCATGCAAAGGCTTCTGACCCTTCGTAGTTTACACTGTATGGCAGGAACATGGACAACTACACAAGCAACTGCTGTGTAGCTTGACAAGCTGCCTGGGAATATGTGGGGTGCTGTAGGACCATGCAGCAGGGTCGGCTAAATTCACCTGGAGGGAGGGAAGCATGGGAAGCTTCCTGGGGGAGGCGATATGTAAGTTAAGCCCTGATGGAAGGCTGGCAAGGTGAAGAGGAAGGTTACCAGAGGTGGAGTAACAGGGACGGTGTGAAAGATTATTCCAGGCCTAGGGAACAGCATGGGCTAAGGACAAGCTTGCAGGACATTGTGGGCCATGACAAGGAGTGTATCATTCGTCCTAAGGGCCATTAGAAACTACTGAAAGGTGTTGAGTGAGTGATATAATCAGATTTTTCAGACTAGAAGGCTCACTCTAGCTACTGTGAGGTGGAGGGGTTAAAATCGAGTAAGAGTATCACAGGCGGATTAGGTAGGAGGTAGTTGCAGCGATCCAGGTGAGAGCTGATGGGGCCTGATCTGGATGGGATAGGAGTGGGGTGGGGAGCAGGGAATTTCCAGGTTTCTAGAAGGATCTTGAAATTTTATGAAACGAGTGAAGATGGATGAATGTTTCTGTCATTACCTGGGTACTAATGTACCTACTCTATTTCATTTAATCATCACTGGAAGGCTAGGGAATAAGCATGATCATCTTCACGTTGGAGATGAGGATGTGGAGGCTCAGAGAAGTTAGGTAACTTGCTAGGGGTCACACAACTGGTA